CTTCTGTACAGGAGTTATTTGTAACCATCAACAGTTTAATGATCAGTCTCTAAGCAAAAARCCAACTCATCAAGTCCTGCCTCTATGATACTCCAAAGAGAGGTAGGAGAAAAAGAGATAAATTACGCGAATGAACATTTGGGATCCAGATCTAGCAGACCTCGGCAGATTTCCACACTCTTTTTTCCTAATCATGCAAACTTTTGAAGAAGCTGAACTTTGTTTTCCGCAGCTACTTAATTCATCCTGCAAAAAGACCATGCAGCCTTGTTCAGTTTCCATGTTCATTTACTCTATACTCTCCTTTATCTCTCTGCTCACTGTCACTCTTAACATTTTGGTGATCATCTCCATCTCCCACTTCAAGTAATTAAATGTTTTATTTTTTAGAAAGGGTTTCTGAAGACTGTTTTTTGTGTTTCATGTATGATTTTATCTGCTCAATCACTAAATAGATCAATTAATGGCAGGTTTGTTGTTTCCTAATCTTTCCAGGAAGCTCCACAGCCCCACCAACTTTCTCCTTCTCTCTTTGGCTGTCTCAGATTGCATGGTGGGCTTTTTCCTTGCCCTTCAGATCATGCTCATAAATGGCTGCTGGTATCTCGGCGATCTCATGTGCACCCTGTACCTTGTTTTTGACTATGTTATATCCTCAACCTCAATAGGAATTATGGTTCTCATTTCARTTGACCGCTACATGGCCATTTGCTATCCTCTTTATTATGCCAGAAAAGTCAATGCAGAAACAACAAAGATCTGTGTTGTGTTGTGTTGGACATGTTCTCTCTTTTACCAGTGTATTCTCCTAAAAGACAACCTGTRTCAGCCAGGCAGGTATAATTCCTGTGTTGGGGAGTGTGTAGTTGTTGTTGATTATAATGGAGGAATTATTGATCTTCTGTTTTCCTTTATTGGTCCAGTCACTACCATTTTAGTCTTGTATTTGAGAGTTTTTCTGGTGGCTGTGTCTCAGGCTCGTTCTATGCGGTCTCATGTTGCAGCTGTTACGGTTCAGGGTTCGGTGAGAGTAACAGTWAAGAAATCTGAAATGAAGGCAGCTGTGATTCTTGGAGTTGTTGTAGTTGTTTTTCTTATGTGTACATGTCCATATTTCTGTGTTATAGTTCTAGCCCAGGATGCTGGTGTCAAAGCTTCATCTGTGACATTTCTTTTGTTTTATTGTAATTCCACATTAAACCCACTGATATATGCACTATTTTACCCCTGGTTTAAGAAATCAGTTAAAA